AATAATAAAATTTAGGTATTTGCGTAAATATGCATATTTTAAAAAGTTATATTAATTAATAATAAACAATATTCTTTTACATCTCAAGTTATCTTAAAAGTGTTACCATTCTGTTACGGGCCAGCTTATTATTTGTAGTCGTCATTTCATTGAGCAGATACTATTTTTATACATGCAGAAAACTATTCTTAGTATTTTAAAGTATTTTATTAATAAATATATTTTATCCGTAACCATATTCTGTAATTTCTACAGAACGAAGAGTAAAGACTACAACAGAATATCAAACTGTTCTAGGAACACTTTTGTTACTTCCGAACAATTTTTATCGATATAATTATCAACATAATTATGTTTAATAATAGTAATAACTATAGATATATTTACCTTCGAAGATTATGAGTCTAAAAACGCTCGACAAATTAAAAAAAAATAGTTAAATTCCAAAATTTCCTTCCCTTGCTTACAGTAGTGAAGCAGTCGCTAGGCCTCGGCTCGACTACGGATGACGTATATCCGGAATCTGGCAGGAAGTGGCTAAATCGGCTGTATGAGGCAACCTTATAAATCTAAGACCTTGGGCCTCGCCCACTTTTAGCCTCAATCCTAACCCTAGCGCTCCTAGTGAGCAAAAGTGACTCTAGGCAGAAAATTCGCCCTTCTTCCCAAATCAATTTATCTAATAACCATGGTGCGGGTCTAGTAATATGTTGTTGTTAATGACAACAGAAATCTATAAAAGTTACAAATTTCCGGCATATTAAATTCTTAAATCCATTGATAGGCCTTTTTATGTTATACTATTTTAAACCTTATTTAATTAATATATTAAGTTATATTATTAATAAATAAACAGAATAAAATATTAAAAAAACTAAATATATAAATTATTTTTTTAATAATATATTATGTACTGTATATATTTTGTAATTTTATCGTACCGCTAGGAGTGTAACAATCGCCCCTTTTTCTAGAAATGGCGACGATGTCAAAGTGGGCTGTCTATTATATACTTCATTTTGGCGTACGTAACTATTGCAAATAATATTTATTACATCAACAATGAAGCTTCTAGGAAAAATTATAGAAAAAGACGGCAGTGGGTACGTTCCTTTATATATCTTGAAGCCCATACAATGATATATTTTGATATAAAATAGTATAAGTTACCTCCAGGTAATTCGTGTACACAAATCCAGCAAAAATAATCTCTCCCTACAGAATTTCAGGTTAAAATATCACATTTATAATGTTTAAACATCATAATTCAAAGATTTTGAATGTTTTCTGAATAATTTATACACAAATATTGACTAAAATGATGCCAAATTGTAATCATGATTCCAGATGTCCTTGAGGTTGATTGAATTTGATACTGCTGAGAAATTATACAGTAGAACATATATAAATAATATATGCTTTTTAATACACATACTACTTAATAAACATGTTTTATACCATAAAAAAACTTTGGTATTTACAGTTATTTGGATGACACAACAATGACATTTCAGTCAAATTTTACCTATGTACACTGTCATGGCTGTGGTGGCAACTGTTCATACTCCCGACTGACTCCTTCCAGAGAGAGTTGCCAGCAGGCCGCCGAATGTATAACGTCACTAGTTATTGATACGTGTGTTCAAGAACTACTGTGAATCAATAACTAGCAACTGTTAGTGCTCCCGACTGACTCCCCTCTGGGATATATGATGGATATATGTGTGGATGCAAATTGCTAGAATTTTTTGGGAATGAAGATTTTCAATCTATTTTAATACATGAAAAGCTAAAATAAACCTATAAAACCTACTGAGGAATTTGCTACCTGTCCATTCCATCCCCAGCAAAGCTGAGCTGCAAGTTTTTAGTAATTTAAATTAAACAATAGTAAATCAGTAGATGTAGTAAATCAAAAGTAGAATAAAATGAAAATAATTATTTGTCTTTAAAGCTTCTTGTGCGAAGTGGCAATGAATTTACTTTTTGTTTATATTGTCTATGTGGGCCTTTATTTTTATCTGGATCTTTATATTACCTTTCAACTAAGGGTACGACTATGCAGACGTGAGCAAGCAAATTTTCCAAGCAAGTGAGAATATGTGGTGAGAAGAGGCGTGATGCGATAAATATCAAACCCTGTCAGATATGTGCAAGAACCAGAAATTTGCGCTTGCCAGCAATATTTTTCGCTTCTCACTTGTGCGTGGTTTCCCTTTGCGAGAACTATACCGCTCACAACCTCTCTCTTACTACTAAATTTGCATCTGCATATCACCCTAAGACTTCCTCTCTTTGCTATATATCCTCTAATATATCTTACAATATAATTTTTCCCTTATAAAAAACTGAAGGACTTTATTAAATTTTTATTATTTTATGTATAATAATACATAAAATAATAATGCCAAAATAATTGTAGCCAGATGGCTACAGAATCAAGATTTTATATAGGATGCTTCAAAATAAGATGTGATCAATATGCTGTGTAACTATCTCTATCATAAGCACATTGTTGGAGGTGGTGATGTAAACCATTGTGCAGATGCCCGATGCCATCTTGAGGTATCTGCAGTCATGCTTATTGAATCTGAGCAGTCAGATCTTGGAGGTTCTAAGGCTGTGTTTCTCAACCTGTAACGAATTGTCGCCCCCTTCAATAAAACCATTATGTAGTATCACCCCCTTCACTTCAAAATTCTGATGCCGAAGGCCAGGGCTAATGCCAAATTTGTACTGCATTGAACAGATTAGTGACTAGTATAATGCTATTTGTTTAATTATTGTACGATAAAATGAATAAAAGATCTAATTATTCTTCATATAATGTTTTACTATATCGCCAAGAAAATTGTTTTTTTGCCCCCAAAATATAAATTGTTACTAATTGCCCCTCAACATGGAAAAACGCCCACATGGGGGTGATATCGCCCCCATTGAGAAACACTATTCTAAGGTGTGTTGAGGTGATGTCTGACCATGTCCCTGACATGTTCATCTTTGTTATTAGTCAGGCAGAAATCAGGACTTGTTCCAGATGCCAGGTCAATCTGTTGTGACACCAAGCAGATGTTCCTGACAATGTGCAGGGGTCAGAGGCAGCTCAGCTTTGTGTAACCGATGTAACTGATGTGACTGATGTTCTCACAAAATCATCTGTGCTTGCAACATGACTCCATAGCTGCTGCCATGTGATATATCTATGTTGTACTGCAGCCCTCACAATCTGTCTGTCATCACAGTCTGAAGTATTCCACTGGGCTTCTGACCTACTGGTTATAGAGCCATCCTCTTGCCATCATTTCCAACATCTCCACATGGTCCAAGTATCCAAGATATATCTTCATCCTTGTACTGTCTTTCCTCTGAGAAGAATGCATCAATGAAATAGAAATATTTACATACATTCTCACTTGTTTATTCAATATGTTTATGAATTAAAGTAAATATTATAAGGTATTTTTAAGCACAGTAGTTTTTATTGCTTATATTAATAGCAATAAACATAACAATACCACCCTTTTTAACACAAAAATAAACTTAAAATAACAGACCTCTTATAATTTAATTTATTTAATGCTTTTGAGGAATATATCTCTTTATCTTCTTATAACAATATAATTTTATATATGTGCTATACATGATTTTTTTGCTCTTTACTACAAATTAACACCGGATGCTTTTGGCATTTTCAAACTTTCAACTCATTTGATAAATCAGTCCTCATATAAAAACTGAAACACGTGCAATGTTAACACTTTAAATTCCTTATTAGAGTGAAAAGGCAGTATTATGGAGTATCTTGCTAGCTGAAAGACCAAATTTTTGAAACATTAAATTCATTGTGTTTTCATAGCACCTTATGTTGTTGAATTAAAAAGTTAAAATGATACATTACTTTTATTTATGCAACAATTAATTTATTCTATGTACTGTATATATTTTGTAATTTTATCGTACCGCTAGGAGTGTAACAATCGCCCCTTTTTCTAGAAATGGCGACGATGTCAAAGTGGGCTGTCTATTATATACTTCATTTTGGCGTACGTAACTATTGCAAATAATATTTATTACATCAACAATGAAGCTTCTAGGAAAAATTATAGAAAAAGACGGCAGTGGGTACGTTCCTTTATATATCTTGAAGCCCATACAATGATATATTTTGATATAAAATAGTATAAGTTACCTCCAGGTAATTCGTGTACACAAATCCAGCAAAAATAATCTCTCCCTACAGAATTTCAGGTTAAAATATCATATTTATAATGTTTAAACATCATAATTCAAAGATTTTGAATGTTTTCTGAATAATTTATACACAAATATTGACTAAAATGATGCCAAATTGTAATCATGATTCCAGATGTCCTTGAGGTTGATTGAATTTGATACTGCTGAGAAATTATACAGTAGAACATATATAAATAATATATGCTTTTTAATACACATACTACTTAATAAACATGTTTTATACCATAAAAAACTTTGGTATTTACAGTTATTTGGATGACACAACAATGACATTTCAGTCAAATTTTACCTATGTACACTGTCATGGCTGCGGTGGCAACTGTTCATACTCCCGACTGACTCCTTCCAGAGAGAGTTGCCAGCAGGCCGCCGAATGTATAACGTCACTAGTTATTGATACGTGTGTTCAAGAACTACTGTGAATCAATAACTAGCAACTGTTAGTGCTCCCGACTGACTCCCCTCTGGGATATATGATGGATATATGTGTGGATGCAAATTGCTAGAATTTTTTGGGAATGATGATTTTCAATCTATTTTAATACATGAAAAGCTAAAATAAACCTATAAAACCTACTGAGGAATTTGCTACCTGTCCATTCCATCCCCAGCAAAGCTGAGCTGCAAGTTTTTAGTAATTTAAATTAAACAATAGTAAATCAGTAGATGTAGTAAATCAAAAGTAGAATAAAATGAAAATAATTATTTGTCTTTAAATATTCTTGTGCGAAGTGGCAATGAATTTACTTTTTGTTTATATTGTCTATGTGGGCCTTTATTTTTATCTGGATCTTTATTTTACCTTTCAACTAAGGGTACGACTATGCAGACGTGAGCAAGCGAATTTTCCAAGCAAGTGAGAATATGTGGTGAGAAGAGGCGTGATGTGATAAATATCAAACCCTGTCAGATATGTGCAAGAACCAGAAATTTGCGCTTGCCAGCAATATTTTTCGCTTCTCACTTGTGCGTGGTTTCCCTTTGCGAGAACTATACCGCTCACAACCTCTCTCTTACTACTAAATTTGCATCTGCATATCACCCTAAGACTTCCTCTCTTTGCTATATATCCTCTAATATATCTTACAATATAATTTTTCCCTTATAAAAAACTGAAGGACTTTATTAAATTTTTATTATTTTATGTATAATAATACATAAAATAATAATGCCAAAATAATTGTAGCCAGATGGCTACAGAATCAAGATTTTATATAGGATGCTTCAAAATAGGATGTGATCAATATGCTGTGTAACTATCTCTATCATAAGCACATTGTTGGAGGTGGTGATGTAAACCATTGTGCAGATGCCCGATGCCATCTTGAGGTATCTGCAGTCATGCTTATTGAATCTGAGCAGTCAGATCTTGGAGGTTCTAAGGCTGTGTTTCTCAACCTGTAACGAATTGTCGCCCCCTTCAATAAAACCATTATGTAGTATCGCCCCCTTCACTTCAAAATTCTGATGCCGAAGGCCAGGGCTAATGCCAAATTTGTACTGCATTGAACAGATTAGTGACTAGTATAATGCTATTTGTTTAATTATTGTACGATAAAATGAATAAAAGATCTAATTATTCTTCATATAATGTTTTACTATATCGCCAAGAAAATTGTTTTTTTGCCCCCAAAATATAAATTGTTACTAATTGCCCCTCAACATGGAAAAACGCCCACATGGGGGTGATATCGCCCCCATTGAGAAACACTATTCTAAGGTGTGTTGAGGTGATGTCTGACCATGTCCCTGACATGTTCATCTTTGTTATTAGTCAGGCAGAAATCAGGACTTGTTCCAGATGCCAGGTCAATCTGTTGTGACACCAAGCAGATGTTCCTGACAATGTGCAGGGGTCAGAGGCAGCTCAGCTTTGTGTAACCGATGTAACTGATGTGACTGATGTTCTCACAAAATCATCTGTGCTTGCAACATGACTCCATAGCTGCTGCCATGTGATATATCTATGTTGTACTGCAGCCCTCACAATCTGTCTGTCATCACAGTCTGAAGTATTCCACTGGGCTTCTGACCTACTGGTTATAGAGCCATCCTCTTGCCATCATTTCCAACATCTCCACATGGTCCAAGTATCCAAGATATATCTTCATCCTTGTACTGTCTTTCCTCTGAGAAGAATGCATCAATGAAATAGAAATATTTACATACATTCTCACTTGTTTGTTCAATATGTTTATGAATTAAAGTAAATATTATAAGGTATTTTGAAGCACAGTAGTTTTTATTGCTTATATTAATAGCAATAAACATAACAATACCACCCTTTTTAACACAAAAATAAACTTAAAATAACAGACCTCTTATAATTTAATTTATTTAATGCTTTTGAGGAATATATCTCTTTATCTTCTTATAACAATATAATTTTATATATGTGCTATACATGATTTTTTTGCTCTTTACTACAAATTAACACCGGATGCTTTTGGCATTTTCAAACTTTCAACTCATTTGATAAATCAGTCCTCATATAAAAACTGAAACACGTGCAATGTTAACACTTTAAATTCCTTATTAGAGTGAAAAGGCAGTATTATGGAGTATCTTGCTAGCTGAAAGACCAAATTTTTGAAACATTAAATTCATTGTGTTTTCATAGCACCTTATGTTGTTGAATTAAAAAGTTAAAATGATACATTACTTTTATTTATGCAACAATTAATTTATTCAAAGTATTTATATATAATTTTGTATAAATATTTCTGATTTATTTTGTTTTTCAGACATGTCACACTTGTGGCAGAAGAACCAGAGGATATGTGGCATGCTTATAACCTTGTTGCCGAAGGTGATAGTTTACGAGCTTCTACAATAAGGTATGTTAACATGATTAAATTGAAATTAATTTATTTGTTTACTTTTTAAGCATATTTAATGTGTGAAAACATTAATATGCTAAAACACATTCAGTATAGCATAACAGCTGCAAAGTTGTTCAACTAGCTACACTAGTTGAACATGTTAAGTGTAGTTGATAGCATTTTGACCAAATACATGGCTTTTGTACTTACTTTTATTTGATATCTAAGACAGAATTCCTTAGACAGAACTGAGATGCAAAGATAGAATCCTTAGCTTCAGTTGTGTATTGTCAATTGAGCCATTTATACTACACTGAGATAGAATACCTTCCTTAGTATACAAACATATCTGTTTGACTTGCAAGAGTTGCAGATTCAAGTACAGAGGTTCCTTGTACTTCAAATTTAATTTATTCGAAGAGACAGTTTGAACTCTGAATCATTTGAAGTCCAAAGCAATTTTTCTCATTAGAAATAATAGAAAGCGAATTAATCAGTGGCTTGCCATCATTGGAAGCAGTGGATGCGCTGCTTCCCTTGTATTTTCTAAAAAATAAATACATATTAATTTTAATTATATGAAAATAATCGCACAATATTTTATTATAACCGCATTATGTATCTTATTACAAATTTCTATACTACACATGAAAANATGTGATATATCTATGTTGTACTGCAGCCCTCACAATCTGTCTGTCATCACAGTCTGAAGTATTCCACTGGGCTTCTGACCTACTGGTTATAGAGCCATCCTCTTGCCATCATTTCCAACATCTCCACATGGTCCAAGTATCCAAGATATATCTTCATCCTTGTACTGTCTTTCCTCTGAGAAGAATGCATCAATGAAATAGAAATATTTACATACATTCTCACTTGTTTATTCAATATGTTTATGAATTAAAGTAAATATTATAAGGTATTTTTAAGCACAGTAGTTTTTATTGCTTATATTAATAGCAATAAACATAACAATACCACCCTTTTTAACACAAAAATAAACTTAAAATAACAGACCTCTTATAATTTAATTTATTTAATGCTTTTGAGGAATATATCTCTTTATCTTCTTATAACAATATAATTTTATATATGTGCTATACATGATTTTTTTGCTCTTTACTACAAATTAACACCGGATGCTTTTGGCATTTTCAAACTTTCAACTCATTTGATAAATCAGTCCTCATATAAAAACTGAAACACGTGCAATGTTAACACTTTAAATTCCTTATTAGAGTGAAAAGGCAGTATTATGGAGTATCTTGCTAGCTGAAAGACCAAATTTTTGAAACATTAAATTCATTGTGTTTTCATAGCACCTTATGTTGTTGAATTAAAAAGTTAAAATGATACATTACTTTTATTTATGCAACAATTAATTTATTCAAAGTATTTATATATAATTTTGTATAAATATTTCTGATTTATTTTGTTTTTCAGACATGTCACACTTGTGGCAGAAGAACCAGAGGATATGTGGCATGCTTATAACCTTGTTGCCGAAGGTGATAGTTTACGAGCTTCTACAATAAGGTATGTTAACATGATTAAATTGAAATTAATTTATTTGTTTACTTTTTAAGCATATTTAATGTGTGAAAACATTAATATGCTAAAACACATTCAGTATAGCATAACAGCTGCAAAGTTGTTCAACTAGCTACACTAGTTGAACATGTTAAGTGTAGTTGATAGCATTTTGACCAAATACATGGCTTTTGTACTTACTTTTATTTGATATCTAAGACAGAATTCCTTAGACAGAACTGAGATGCAAAGATAGAATCCTTAGCTTCAGTTGTGTATTGTCAATTGAGCCATTTATACTACACTGAGATAGAATACCTTCCTTAGTATACAAACATATCTGTTTGACTTGCAAGAGTTGCAGATTCAAGTACAGAGGTTCCTTGTACTTCAAATTTAATTTATTCGAAGAGACAGTTTGAACTCTGAATCATTTGAAGTCCAAAGCAATTTTTCTCATTAGAAATAATAGAAAGCGAATTAATCAGTGGCTTGCCATCATTGGAAGCAGTGGATGCGCTGCTTCCCTTGTATTTTCTAAAAAATAAATACATATTAATTTTAATTATATGAAAATAATCGCACAATATTTTATTATAACCGCATTATGTATCTTATTACAAATTTCTATACTACACATGAAAAAAATAAAAAATAAGATTGCTATTGTATATTCGAATATTAGTGGTGGAGTGGAATCTCTGTATTGTCATATTCCAAAAAGCCAGATTTGTGCACGCGCTTTACAGAGCATCAACCTCACCCGGTTTAGCCGGTGGAAGCCTATGACCTCGGGTGGATGCTACACGTATACTGCATTCAATTCTATCAGGGACTGGTTCTGGGTTGTTAGCCGCTAGATATTTGGCCGCCCTCGCCCAATTACGCGAATCGCGAGTAGATTTATAACTTAACCCAACCGATAGGAATTTACTGGTATGTTTCTACGATAGTTCTGTATAGTTGACAGGAGTTTAAAAAATCTATTAAAATATTTGATATTTTTATTCCGCTTTCTGATTTTATATTACTCACGGATTTCAATGTTAAACTAGTGATATTACGATTTTGTATGTCCCATCTCTAAGGGGATGTAGAAAAAAATGTGTACAATTCTTGTATAATGTTAAAAAATTAACTATTACTTTGACAGCGTGATTTACAACTAAATTTAATGAATGAGAGAGATGCACGAGGTACAGAAAAAGCTCTAGAATTTATTTTCCTTAAATTTACGATTTACTGTAAGTATTCATTGTCGTAAAAATTTGTCTTTCCACTTCTTTCCCATGACTACAAATATTCAAGTACAAAGTAACTGGTTTCAACTTATTTCTACTTAAGAACTAGTTAAATAATTAAGACATTAGGGAATTGGGGACAAAATAAAATCCTGCTGAAAGAGTTGGAATATTACTTAAAAGCTTAACTGACCCAATCTCTACCCGAGTACAGTAGGGACTGATTTATTTGTAATGTTAGATGTAATATAAACAGAAATTTTTCCAGTTCAATGAGAGTGACCGAAAAGTTGCAAATTTTGGAAATTTCCGTGGACACCTGATCCTAAAACGAATTTGTTAGAAAACAAATGACTATTAAGTTTAACATATTTAGATTTTTATGGCTATAGTGAGAAACGTTTGAAATTTACAACCCTGTTGAATCCTTTGAGATATGCTAGTGATGCGAGAAAAGAGGCATTTGACATTGACCGGTATGGGCACCCTCGGGATTTGGCAGCTTGCGTGCATGCACGCACCGCACACCTAGCAGGACTGTCTCTGATTCCACTCGTAGGGAGCTATTTGACTATGTGGTTAAGATTTAAAAAGTAAAGAAGATTTTATGTTATTTTTATGTATGTTTCTTTACAAAGCTATATTTAATTATAATTATCTTTAAAAGTATATTCATACAATTGAAGAATATTTTGTATCAGTTACGTATATCCACTACATTATATTTTATTTCACCAAGTAGGTTTTTATAATTTTATTTTTAATTTTAGCCCTTATATCGTGGCTAGCAATTCAGAATGTAATTGCGATATTGAAAATTTATTTTTAAAAAGTTTTGGCTCCAGATCATATAATGAAAAAGAAAACATTTTTAAAAGAGAAAGGCCAATGCCTAAGTTAAATATAAACACTTCAATAAAAAAATTTGTTCGACATTTTCATGATAAAATGGCTGTGTAGATGCATAAAAATGCAAAAATTGTTTTATTGGCTTGCCTACTATTTTCAAACGAAATTAGTGTATGGAATAAGAACGGCTTTGACAATTTAGCTGGCAAAAGACACAAAAAATTGTCGATTATTTCGTATTTGAAGCAATTTGGAAATCAAAGTGGAATAGAATTTAACATTAGCAAATAACATAAAATAAATATTGAAAATTATAAAGAGATAGTTACAGCTAATAGATATATTTAAATTAATAGATGATATATGTTTTTATCAAAGCAAGAATCAGCATTTAGATTGCATAGGGAATCTATTGAATCTAATAACAGAGGTAATTATATTGAACTTGTTTATTTATTAATTACATCAGATAAATAATCTATTAAAAATACATTTAAAGAATTATAAAGTCAACACACCTTACTACTGAGAAAGCACATTTATTAAGCTAAACAAATGTTTTTAACCCATTTCATGGGCCATCCTCAGGTTAACGACATTCGAATGAATGGCTTTTCGAACATGTTCAAATTTAAATTATATTAGAACATACGTTGAAATAAGATTATGTAAACAAGCATAACGAAATTAATACAATAAACAAGAAAAATAAAATAAAATAAAATACAAAATACGATAATTCCCCTTAATACAATATGTAAACATTTTTTATAATAACTCAGGGTTTATTGAGCCTGGTGGATGTATCTTCTTACGAGTTCTTTCTGATTATATATTTCCATGCCGACGGTAAAATGGTTGCATCTTTATAGTTTAAACATTTATCCGTTAAGCTAGATCTGTAGATCTCACACTTCTCTGTTGTGGATGCAAGTGTTGGCGAGTGCACATTTGCAACGATTCTGGCCCCTCAAAATAGAA